TAAAGACCACTTTTACTTGCCCATTTGGGACATTTGCATTCCGTTGGATGTCTTTTGATCTATGCAATGTCCCCATCACATTTATGTGTTATATGATACCTATTCTTGAAAAGTTTATTTGTGACTTTAAGGAGGTTTTAAGCCTTGAACAAGTCTAAGAATGAGGTTTTATCGTCAAGCTAGTGACGTTAAAGAAGCGCTTATGGGAGGGGCAACCCACCTTAAAAAACATTAAAAAAAATAGAATTAGGAGTTTTTTTGTTTTCTTTTGCATTTTTATTTCATTGTTTTTTGTTTTCATCTCGGAGTTGTGCGGTTGGATTTCTTTGCCTTGAATGGCAGGTGTGGCATGGGAGTTTATGATCTGATTTTGGAAGAATTGCTGCCCCATGTAAATGGGGTTACTCAGAGCTACACGCTGCAATTTACTTCACAGCAGGTGAGAGAGTGATATTTGAACTGGGATTCAACTTCAGACACTTGTAGGGACAATGATTTGAGAGATATGCGTGCTGGAGGAACAGGGTCTCTGGACAGAGACTTGAATCATCACAGTATCGAAGAGAGGAAGCAACAACCAGCACAATCATCAGGTACAATCTGATGGGACAAGACTCTGCTGGCAGATTCAGTTTGGCACTTTGAGTTTTATGACCAGGAGTATGAACAGATTCAGGGTGGCGCCTGGATTTCTATGACCCGGTGTATGAGCGAACAGATGAGTTCCAGCGGCTACTTTCCCAACTAATTTGGGCTAAAAGCCTTCTCGGAATGTCATTCTACACATGATTCAGAGTTTGATGCTCATAGAAGTTCTAACAGACAGTAAATCAGGCTGCCTTAACGTGTTTCTTCATGGGAAATAACCTCCATAGTAACAGCCAGATTGCGAGCAAGGTGCTACCATGTTTCATTTTCTCCACTTGCAGCTTATTTGAGCGCGTCGCAATGGACATGTCAGTGCCTATGAGAGAGTTTGTACTTTACAAGTTCACCGTGCAGCGATCCAAACTTACTCAGGGAGTTGAGAGACTTCCAGATGCATCACGAGACAGTCATGTGCACACTACCTAGATTTCTCACCACCAGAGAGGAGGAGCTATAAGATGCAGAGATTTGAAGTTATTCGGGAGGTTATTCACCGTCGTTTGGCTTGCACGGTATTATGTCAACTCTTTCTACGCTGCTAATAATGTGTGTTTACTCTCATATTACTCCTTTGTTGAATTGTGTTGATTATTATTCTGATTATGATGTGCTGCCAGGATGAAAATCATTTTATTCTTTAACTTGCCCTGTTAATTCTGTTTTAATCTTTTCTTTGACCTTGAGGGCGATGTCACCCCTAAGTGTGGGGAGGTTTGGTTTTAGCTTGGACATGGCATTTGGTGATGAAATTATTCTGCCCAACAACATTTTGAGGTGTACAAGTTCTTTTCTGGTTTAGCAACGCAACAAAGGTAACTTGTTAATCTTTATTTTCTTTTGTAATCTTCCATCTCCTCCATCTTTCTTGGAAAGAATTAGTAATGGTGTAATCATCGGGGTGGTGTGTATATTCTTGGGAATGTTGACATGTTGGATGGTTTGATTTGTGTTGATTAAATTCGGTGTTACTTGTGATTCACTTGTTCGTCATCAATTATTCCTTGACTGGCCAGGTGTTGAAAATCCTTACTCCGTAAGGAGCTCTACTTTCTAAGCATATCGGGATAACTTCATGCCAAGCAGGTAACTGATTCTTGTAATGGGGTTACACTTCCTGTGTCGAGAATTTCATCCCCGAAATGGAGCTCTGCTCATCTCGCGAATCACCCCGTGTGAGAGTTGAGTACACAGTAATGAGATAAACTCCCAGGCCCTAGAGCTTGAATCATTCCTACAATCCAGAACCTGGTCAACTTTACATATTAAAAAAAAAAAGAATCACGAGTATACCAGTTTTATCACACAACTCTTGGGTTTTGGGAATGATTGGTGGTTTGAATTTCACACACCTACACCGTTGGGACCATCATGCTTTTCTTTACATTTTAGTCGGTTGGGGACCATCATGCTTTTCTTTACATTTTAGTCGGTTGGAGAGGGATTTTACTTTTGAAAATATTGTTTAAAATGTGAATCTTGGTTTCGTTGTTAAGGAAGAAAAGCCCTTGTGCGGTCATTTGTTTTGGGTGTGAATGATTTTTGAACCAGGTGTTACATGCGATTATTTTGTTTTCCGTGAATTTAATGCACTGTTGCTTGGGGGCAAGCAACGCTCAAGTGTGAGGAGATTTGATAGGCTCGTTCCGTTCCTATCTTTCACCCATATTTTGGGTGTTAATTGTCTAATTTTTATAATTAATCGGGTGACTATTGAGGGTTTTGAGTGAAAATTTGCTATTTTCGGTCCCGGTGGCATTCGTATTCGGTGTAGTATTTTTCTACATAATTTGACATTTTTTGAGTAATTTGATTGTAAAATTGCATATGATTAGCGGGTGTGGTGAGTTGTGATTGTACAGACCGAATTTGCGGTGAATAACGCATTTATGTTAGAGCGGAACACTCTAAAGGCTCTTGAAAAATAGTTTTGCACAACCCAAATGAAAAAAAACTGCAGCAATTTGATTAATCTAAGTGCAGCCCAAAAAAAGAAATGAGTTGGGGTTTTTTCCCCTAGAACTATCAGCCGCACCCATTATTCTTTCCTTGGATTTTTTTATTCGTTCTCCAAAGTCATGTCATCATCCAACCCCAGAAGAAGCATATCACTTCGAACTGTCCTAACCCACGTCTGTTTGGGTCTTCCTCTCTCTCTCTTCCCTGCCTATTCTCCACACATCTCAACTCGTCTGACAGGTGCATCACTCGGTCTTCTACGCACATGACCAAACCACCGTAGGCGCGACTCCCGCATCTTGTCTTCAATAGGTGCTACTCCCACTCTTTGTCTAATTGTCTCATTCCTCACGCGGTCCTTCCTAGTATGCGCACACATCCAACGTAGCATGCGCATCTCTGCCACACTCATCTTTTGAATGTGACATTGTTTCACCGCCCAACACTACGCCATATAGCAATGCAGGCCTAATTGTTGTCCTATAAAATTTGCCCTTCAGTCTAGTCTGCATACCTCGATCGCATAGAAATCCTGACGCACTCTTCCACTTGATCCACCATATTCTGATTCCATCTAACTCACTGAATATTTTGATAAAAAAAATTATTCGTTCTTTTTTTTAATTCATTGGGAAATGTTAACGATAAATTGGCTTCAGTCTAATAAACAACAGATATAAAATGAAAAACTGTGAACCACAAATTCACCAAACTTATTTAGTTTTATTTTAAAATTTAAACTGCATTTATTATTCAAATGCAAAACAGAAACATAACAAGGAAATGGATTATAAACGAATACACTAGAAACAAAAGACAGACTCATCACCATCGCACTACATATAAAATACAGTATGCGGTTCTTGACATATGCGGTCAATGATCCACTAGAAACAAGGAACGCGACATATGAGGTTCGTGAGTAGGAGACGTATGAATTGTTTGAAGGATGAAAGGGATAAGAGGATGAGCGTGAACAAACCAGATATCTTCAGAAAAGTCGTATTTGATGAGATCTTCGTTGGTGAGGAATCGGTTGAAAAGATTCAGGCCAAAGATCCAGCTCCTGGTTGGAAGTAGCGGTCCATTCCCAGGCCAAAACTTCACCGAATCCATGAACTCCATGCCCAACACAATAGGATAGTCGTCCATAGGAACAACCGAGAAATCGATCAACCCGCTCCACTCGCCCAAGGTAACCCTGACCCCACGAGCCACTCCATAGATTGACTTAGGCTGTGAGTTGACAGCTTTCAGCCAACCATGGTCTTCGACATAGGGGATTCCCAGTCTCTTGGCTTCCTTGACTTCTAGGAAATTATGTGAAGCTCCGGTATCTATGAGTGCTTTAGTTGTTTGTCCACGTACCTTAGCTTCAACGAACAAGCGCCCCTTCTTCTCCGTCTTGGGCTCGGTTACCTTGGCCTTGATGGCATTGAGGATGCGAAGGGATCCGACCATGGCTTCCTCCCGTTCACGCTCCTCCCTTTCTTCCACTAAGGCCGAGAGCTTGGCCTTCTTCGGGCAATCCTTCGCCTTGTGCGGCCCATCACAAAAGAAGCACTTGAGCGGTCTCTTCTCCCAGTTCTTGGTCTCCTTCGACCCCTAGCTCTTGTCAAAATGTTGGAAACCCTCTTTGTGCGGACGGTGGTCTCCCCCACTCTTTTCCTTGCCTTCTCCTTAGTTGGTGGCTTCACCTTCTCTGGTTTCTTGAACTCCACCAAGGACTCAGCAATGGCAATAGCAGTGTCGAGATCTTGAGCTCCACGCCTTTGGACCTCGATCTTTGCCCAACCTTGCAACCCATCCGTAAACGCAAAGAAAGCTTCCTTATCAGGATAGTTAGGGATATCTAGGAGTACCTCGGTAAATTTGCTTTAGTATTATTTTTGGACAAACCCCTAAAAAAATGGTGCCCCTCTCCAAGTGGTGTGCCCTAGGCAATTGCCTACCTTCCTAGGGCCCAAAGCCAGTTGAGTATCCCGCATACTCTTCCAATGTTATCGAGTAGATCAACATTTCAGAATCAATAAAACAAACGTTTTTGCTAACCTCGTGCGGGAGTCACTGTTTCAACGAGGAGTGACAAAAATATAGGCACGGCTTCACAAAAAGTGAAGAATACGCTTAATTTAATATGCTTTAATATTAATTTAATTTATTATATTAATTCCACTACGTGAGGCGAGACGGTCGAGACTTGTATCCATTGGAAGCAGTTTTTAGATTCCAATATGCAACCACTCCACTTCATATTACGTGGACTAGAAAGTGTTTTATTTATGTGACAATTGGCATGTTTTTTTAAGACTAGAAACCCTAGCATTGCGGTTGCTCTAAGAGCATCCTCATTGGGGTACTTTTTAGTCTGGGAGTAGTGCGCCACGTATACAATTTTAACACTACGTATATATTTTTGTTTCCAATGCATGTAGTCCACACGTTCTGTCTTAGTGATCTGGCAAAAAAATAGCAGACAGTGTGAAGAGCCCTATTTGAGTGTAGAAAGTCTGATTAACTTGCTGACTAGGATAAATTACATCGCAAAATAGCGCGGTTCGTAGAAAAAGTGGAGGGAAACCTGAAAATAGCTTTTGGAATTCACCGATTATCACAACCGTTCTACTCAATCCTCTGGCAAATTTTCCCAATTTTTTTCCTGAAGGCGGTGAGATTGTAAAGAGAGGTACGATAATTTTTTCTCTCTTTATACTTTTACGAAATATTGAATCTGTGTTAAATTTGTATTTCTTTTGCAAAGTTCATAGATTTTCTCGTGTTGGTTAGTTGAAACCAAATTTTTGTTTCCGTAATAGCTCATTTGTGAATGACGACGATTCACTCGTTGTATTAGCCATATGAACTTGTGGTGTTGGTTTCACGTTTTGTAATTACACTATCTGAACCCTTTTGTTGCTTTCAACTATGTATTTTCTTTGAACTAATTAATTGAGTAAATAATTGCTGGTGTTGTTGGGATAAACCTTATTTTACCTCAAGCACTTTGTCTTATTGATTCTACTTACGAGTCTATTCTTTTTTGGTTTAGGTGTATTTAATTTGTGATGCTCTTTGGATAATACTACATATTAGTTTTACCCAAGTGAATTTGACTTAACTTAAAAACCTTTTTCAAGGAATTAGAGTAGCAATGAACCGTTCTTTGAGTTTTTGGAGCGATTGTATAGCATATAGGTGATGGTATATCCCTTGTTGGGATAGCCCCATTTTTGCCTTACTTATACATAAACTCTTTGGATGATTAATATATTTACCCTTTATCCAAAAAAATAGAGTAGCAATGAACCGCAGAAAGTGAATTTGGCATGTAATTATTTCTAACACACTAATATTTGAAACATTGAACTTTGCTAATTGTACTTGGAGTGACAGAGTTGCAAGTACACTATGATAAGAGCATTGATATCATTTTGATAGGTACTTCACTTCTGGGCATATTCGTTTCTATTTTATTTGTTTTCAATGCAAACCAGAAGCTTCATTGGTATATTATCATCTCATAATCTTTCCTACTATGCAAGCTCTGTATTTTATGTATTAATGTGTACATATATATATATGATACTCTTAATTCTGAAGCAATAGGGACTGCTGAAACACTCAAATTATTGCTTTACAATTTATTATAATGACACACCACATATTAGTATATGAATGGCACAAATCGTAATGTTAGAATAGTCCAAAAAGGCAGTAACATTTTGAATCTCAATCAATAACAGTAGCTAGTTTACTCAATTCAATGTTGACAAATCCAGGATGAGTTGAGATATTGTCACTAACATGCAAACATTTCAATGTATTTCTAACATTAAAGTTAGCTTTGTAAATGTCGAGTGTTGTAACTACAAACTAAAGTGTGGCGATATAAATGTTTAAGGCCACTCATATTACAACTAGACTAGAGGATCCCTGCAGATATGAAAACCAATCATACTTGGTAAATAAAAAATGTCTACTTTTTAAAACTAAGCTAAATAAATTGATCAAGTTAATAGGTGGCCAGACAAAATACTTTAACTACAAAAACTAATGTGCAGGAAAAGCAAAAGGCATAATGGTTTTTGAGCTGTAAGCATAATAAGATTTAAATTTCTTAAATCTAGGTGGGCAATGCAAATTTCTCTACAGATTCAATTCAGCACTATATTTCAGGGGGGGAAACAAAATATACACTTGAGAGAAAAACACATTTTATTTCGTGGACTACAAATCCTTTCAATTTTTCGACATTTGGCATTTTTGAAATAGACTAGACATAGATGGGTTGGAGATGCTCTAAGGGGCATCTATGCCCTTAATCTTTTATTTTGTGCAAAAATCTTTAAAATCCCTCAAAAGAGGGCAATGACCCCCTTGTTTAACGTGAAGCAATTTAACGGTGTAAGCAAGTCTTAATATGACTTCTTTGACTTTTCAACGGGATGTATTTTAATTGTAGTTATTAATTAATTTTGTAAATAAGTTGAAATATATAAAATAAAAATAAAACAATTACATATATAAGTATTATTAAGATATGAGGTTTCATCTTAAAAGGTGGATCTGATATGATGAGCAACTCAGATAATAATATAAAGTGTGAATTGTAATTGCCCAAATATTATCAAATATGATATGAGACAAAGTTAATGCAAAATACGAAAAATGTTGAATATGACAAAGGGGATATTAATAAAAATATAATCTAAATATCATTTATTTGTAGTTCAAAATATTCAATAAATTGAGTTGTTTCAGTCAAAATTTCATCTTTTTTAGTATATATATTCAAGTGATTAAGTCAATTTCGGTAAAAAAAATGGGGTGGTTACCAAATGGCTCTAGCCAAAGTACCGAGTAATTCTTTTCTAATTGCTAATACTACCCTCGTCTCACTACATTGGGACATGAGAAAATGATACGATTATTCAGAAAAATGATTTTATGTGGTTGATATTGAATTAATAATATAAAGTAAGAATACTTTAGAACTACACAAATTGTACCAAATTTGGCATGAGACAATCTTAATGGGATGGATCGAAAAGAAAAGATGAAACAATTTTAGCGGATAAAGAAAATACTTTTATGTACAATCGTTATTTAATTACTTTATTGCTTTTTATGTTTTACTTGTATTTATAATTGTTTTATTTAAATTTTTATATTCCAACTAATTTACAAAACTAGTTTAATAAATAAATGTAAAATATACTACTACTTCATTGACCATTCACAGGAGCATCAAACGGTTGCCAAATCCGTTAACTGGGTTCACCGTTGAAAAAGGGGGTGATTGACCTTCTTTCAAGAGTTTTAAAGATTTTTACCCACAACAAAAGTTTAAGGGCATAGATCCCCTTTGATGACAACTTCAGGGGTGGTTTTGCCTCTTTTCCCTAATAAAAATCCATGGAATGATTGTGGATATGTAGATTTCAAAAGAGTCTATAGAAATCTATTTTGAGGACACCCGGATTGTCATGGAATTCTAAATTCCTTTAAAATCCTTTAAAATCCAAATTGGGGACATCCCCCTAAGATTCACCTAAAATATCAGGTAGAAATTGGTATCCTAAAGATGGAATGAAAAAGTAAAGGAGAATAGGAAATAAAGAAATGCACGGAGTACTACGAAGTACGAATCAGAGTGTTTTTTTATTGCAAAACCAGGGCAATTTATTTCCAACAACTACAAGAAACCAAAATACCTGAAACGAGTAAGAGATTATGCCTTTTCTCGTCCATATGATCATATATCAGGAGGAGATTACACAAATGTGCGGAAATTTAACTAGAAAGAGTAAGAGATCAATACCAGAGCTGAGTCGGGCAGCGAGAAGAAACGAGACAAACGTTAGAAAGGATGAAGCCACGATAGTCTACTCAAGAAGAAAAGAACAACTAGCGGAAGAAGATGAGTTGATGAGCAGATGAGGTCTCCCGGTAGCCGATTTTGTTCTATTTTTATTTACAAAGTAACTTGTTCTAGGAAAGTGGTCTGTCTGTTTCTAACCGACCGAACCGAGTCGGATCACCGAAACCAAACCAAACTCCATTTTACAGGTTCGAGTCGGTTCGGTTCAACGTTTTGCCCAGCCCTAGTTTGAAGAGTTTACTACTCCCTCCGTCCCATTGGACTTTGCCATCTTTCCTTTATTGGTTGTCCTAAAAAACTTTGGCACTTTCCCATTAAAGTAACTATTTTGTGGTTCTACTCATTTCTCTCTCCTCTGCACAAACTTCAACCTCACAATTTTTACTATTGTTATTTCTTACCTAATTTAAGGAGTGCAAAGTCCATTGGGGCGGAGGTAATATTATTTAGTGGGTCGGCCCAGCTTATGTTAAATAAGGTCAAGAACTTCGGTTCCTGCATGCTAGTAATGGTTCAAACCGGAACCGAGCCGTATTAATATTTTAGGAACCGAACCCAAAATTTTACAAGTCAAAAAAATTAGGAACCGAACCGGTGAATTCGGTTCGGTTCGGCTCGGTTTTCCCGGTTTTTCGGTTCCAAGTCTCAGGCCTAGAAAAAGGTCTTTCTTATTCAAGAAAAGATTGCGACTTTTTAAGAAAAATTATTGAGCCAAACATACAACTAGAGTGTTTTGGGAACCTTTTTAATAATTGAAAAGCTAGAAGCTGCCGACTTTTACGTACCAAACATAGCCTCATGCGCTACGGTCGTCTTGGTTAGTGTGATTCTTGAAGCGCCACTGATTCTTGAACTCCAACTTGAATTTCTCATTTGGTTGCTGCGGCAAGATGAATGTTTTCACTTTTCACTGCGGCAAAATACACTCGAAATACATTTAAATAATACAACCTTCGTCCCCATGTTATTGTCCCATTGCGGTTTACGATGCTTGACTGACGATAAAGCAAAACAGATCCTTGTCCGCACTCAAATTATGTTTAGGAAAAAAAAAGATTACATATCCAGAACTACATTAAAAGCTTTACAAAGTCGCAAATACCTGAATCAAATTTGATAAAAAGTTGAAACATAAAGTAAGAGATTAAGAGTGATTTGTGTTGACTAAGTAAATAGGAAATGAGACAATAACAGGGGGACGGAGGGAGTACTTTATTGAAAGGAAATATTAACTTTATTTCAAAAAAAATGCTAGAATTGTGGAGCAGAAACATTCAAAGGGAAATGTGAGCGTTACTGCCACACTCGGTTCTAACCTAACCGAGTGCACATGTTAATCACCCCCAAAACAAATATTCTCTAAGGTTCTTGAAAATGAAATTACAATGGTTTATTAGTGAGAAGATTCTCGAAATAGGAGCTAAAAAGTTTGAAAAATTCAAAATAAGACTGTCATGTTTTTATTCCCAAAATAGGAGTAATTACTGTCAAGTTTGGAAAACACTTCCATGTTTAAACTCTGGTAATGCCAAAATATGACAGCAATTAGTCCTATTTTGAGAATTAAAAACATGATCGTACTATTTTGGAATATACAAACGTTTTTAGTCCTATTTAGGGTAATCTCCCTTTACTAATTAGGCGTTATAGTGGAAGCTCTCTTGAAATCAATACAATACTTTTACAAAACCAAGTACAAAAAGAACACTTGGTACAAAACCTTACTAATTCACCCAATCCCGTAAAATCATATAATTTGGTACACATTATATATATATATATATGTGTGTGTGTGTGTGTGTGTGTGTGTATTAAAAGATCAAATTATTCAAATTAGAACAAGACTTAATGTGTGAACGTGAGAACACCACATGTATATATATATGATGCACAATGAGGCTCGGCTCGTATATTGCACTTTTCATGTTGAGCTTAATATTTAACAAAATGTCGCTGTAACTATTTATATTGGCTTGATTTGAGCAAATTTAATGTTATCAATTCTCAAGAATAAATTCCATTTTTGGTCCTATGAATATCGCACCAATTCCACAATCGGTCCACATCTTTGACTTTGACCACTTTTGATACATGACTATTGTGTTTTCGCCCACATATGGTCCTTCCGGTAACTATTCCGATGGTTATAATTGCCGGAAAAGGACATCAAATGGTCAAGAAACATTAGTCAAGTACTAAAAGTAGACAAAGTGAAATACGTGGACTAAATGTGAAAATGACATAAAACTAGTAGGGCGAAAAGTGGAATAAATTCCAAATTTCAAATAGGAAAAAAGCATATTCCCCACACCCGTAACATCCTCAAAATTTGCACTGTTTACTTACAGCATGAAACTATGAAAGTAAAAGTAAAAGTAAATATTAAAAATTTAAAATCATTATTAAAAAAATTTGACACTTTTGGTACGTGTTTTAGCTATTTAAAATTCTACTACAATAAACTACGGTAGATATAGAATAGAACAATTGAACCAGACTAAGTCAACCTTGATTAAATAAAGTATGGTGAAATAGCAAAAGTAGTGAAATATGATAATTTACTAAGCCAAGTAATATTAGTGAGTCGTGAGGAAGAAAGGAGGGATCGAAAGAGGAAGGAAATGGAAGAGGAAAAATGTGGGGAGATGAACTAAGGGAGAAAATCTTCTCAAAATTTATTTAAGGTATGTGTTCATTCCTTCTCCTCAATTCTCCTAAATTCTAATTATATCAAATATTCCAAATTACATTGCTATATTCAATTGATACATATCTGTGAGAATAATGGAATGGCATAATGGCTTCCCCAATTGGGAGCCCTAGATGTCATATATATATTAAATAGAGTTCTGAGTACATTAGGAAACATAAGAAATATGGAAACCTAATTAATGAATATTAATTAGTCTATTACACCCCCTCAAGCTGTGCAGGGGAAACAATGCGCAGATTGTCTCGAAGAAAAATGAAGCGCTTTGGAGACAAGCATTTGGTAAAAATGTCTACGAGCTGAAACTGTGTAGGAACATAGCGAACCACCAGATCTCCATGTGAGACTCTCTCACGAACGAAGTGATAATCAATGCTGATGTGTTTGCTCCGAGCATGCTGAATAGGATTTGTGGATAAATAAGAAGCAGAAATATTATCACACAATAACCGAACAGACTGACAAATGGGAACTCCTAACTCGAACAATATAGACCGGATGTGGAGAGTGTCCTGAACCGTGTAAGCAATAGCCCTGTACTCTGCTTCTGTGGAAGAACGGAAGACAGTGGGTTGCTTTTTGGATTTCCACGAAATCAAATTAGGACCCAGAAAAATAGCGAAGCCTGAAGTGGACCGACTACTGTCCGGACATCCAGCCCAATAGGCATCAGAATACGCCTGTAAAATAGGAGAAGAAGAGCTCGGCTGTAGGAGCAAACCATGATCTGGAGTACCCTGAAGATACCTGAAAACACGCTTAACAGCCAAAAAATATGAAGTACGAGGTGCATGCATAAATTGAGACACCAGGTGGACAACAAATGTAATATCTGGTCTAGTCGTGGTCAAATACTGTAGGGCACCTACCATACTTCTGTACTCCGTAGGATCTGCGAGGAGATCACCATCAGTGAGAGATAGCTTAGTTCGAGAAGGAAGCGGAGTACGAACAGGTTTAAGGGTGTGAAGATGAAACCTGGTTAAGAGATCAGACACATATTTTTGTTGAGAGAGGAACAAACCTGAGGAGGTTTGAATAGCTTGGACACCTAGGAAAAAATGTAAATCCCCCAAATCCTTCATGGCAAAGCAATGACCAAGGCAGGATATAAATGTGGAAATAAAGGAAGGGGAATTACCAGTTATAATAATATCATCCACATACAATAGTAGAAAGAGAACATGAGACCCATGACGATAAATGAATAAAGAATTATCTGACTTGCTACAAACAAAACCATGGGTTAGCAAGAAACTACTAAACCGATAAAACCAGGCGCGTGGAGCCTGCTTAAGACCATAGATTGCTTTCCTTAGCCTACAGATATGATTAGGAAATTGGGATGAACAAACCCAGGAGGCTGGCGCATATAAACCTCTTCAGTTAGATTGCCATGAAGAAATGCATTTTTGACATCTAACTGACGAATAGACCACCGACACGAGACAACTAGCGATAAAACAATACGAACAATAGTGGGTTTGACTACAGGACTAAAAGTTTCCGAAAAAACCACACCAGCTTGTTGAGTAAATCCTTGTGCAACTAAGCGTGCTTTATAACGCTCAACAGACCCATCAGACTTAAATTTTGTCTTATAAATCCATTTAGACCCGACCACATTTTTACTAGAATTAAATGGAACTAAATCCCAAGTATGATTATCAATTAAAGCATTAAACTCCTTGATGGATAGTCTACCCGGGGGTATATATCCGAAGGGTTATTACGGGGAATAACTTAGAGAGAAGTCAGAGCAAGTGAGTAAAAGTAGAGAGAGAGTGTATTCAGTATGAATGCCGTTTTCAGCGTGGTTACAAATGGGGAAATGGGGTGCTATTTATAGTAGCAATAAATGCTGAGCAGGGACACGTGTCAAGCGCTCATTGGCCGAGGGGTCACCTCAACTGGTTGGCGCTGGCAGGCGCATGTGGCCGCATTTAATGCGGCTGTTGGATGGGACGTTTGTGCGGGGCACGATGATCTGTACGCATGTGAGGCGTATATCTTGTCGAGTGAGATGCCTTCGGTTATAGAGTAGCAGCCGAGGGCTCTTCCACCCGATGGCACCTTGGTGCCGAGGGCTCACAGTGCCGAGGGCTACTATTTTCGCCGTTTTCTCCCAGTTTCTTAGTTTGCTTGAGAAACCCGTTCTGTGAGAATTTGGAGCCTTCGGCCAGGGGGCCGAAGGCACCCCTGGCGCGTAGTGCGGGCTGCTTGGTACTCTGGGCGCTGTGATTTGGGCATGTTGGGCCTTTTGGGCCTGTTGGGCCTTTGCTGGAGTAGTAGGAGTCTGTGGGCCGGGGGTTCCCGGGCCATATACTCCATCAGGAGTCCCTCACTCCTTTTGCCGAAAGGTACTTGAGGGAAAAGGAGTAATTTGTGCTTGCCCTTTGATGTTGTCCCGTCGTGATCTCTGAAGTTGGTGAGGAGTTGTTGCTTTTATGTCCATGCCGAAGGCAGTCCCTCAGTTACCCACATGTCGGGACTTGAGGGCTTGCTTTGTTGTTTGTTGGAATTTCACAGATTTTAATGATTTTCCCGAGGGGGTCCTCCAGTCCCCCACTCCTTGAGGCACTTGTAAAGTGGTGAAAAGGAGTAGAGTAGTTGCGTTGCTGTTGTGGGCCGAAGGCTGACGTTTTTCGTTTCATTTCGGGGGGATGCCTCGTTAAAAACCTCATTAGGAAAAACCCTGGGGGAAAAATCCTAATTAGGGAAAAAGAGTGCACCGAATTCCCCCAATGATGAATCGAAAATGTCAAACTTGGTCAAAAATGGAGAATAACGGTAATGCCGAAGGCTCTCTCTTCTGAGGGCTCCTGTGTTGATTAGCCGAAGGCTTGCTGTTGATGCCCTGGTGGCGCCGAAGGGGAGCCCCTCAATCCGTGGATCGAGGGCCTGCTGGATGAGGGCGGCAATGAAGTTGTTACCGGTGGGATCCACTGTTTGTTGATTAGTTGGCGATGAAGATACCCGAGGGCTCCCATTACCTGCGTGCGACGGGTTATCCGTCAATGAAGGCAACTCCCCGGGGGCTACCCGGTTCTGCAGTGCCGAGGGGGATGTGTGGGGCGCAACCCGGGGGCACTTCTGAGTGAGCGTACCCGGAGGCTATCCTTGATGAAGTGGAGTGAAGTAGAAAACCCGGGGGCTTCCAAAATATAGCCGTTGGAAATATAGCCGTTGGAATATGTAACGACGGGATATAGCCGTTGGGGGGGTGGCACACGTGGCGTGTGATGGCTGGCCGTTCGCGGGCGGCGTCACCGGTTGGGTGAAACGGCGGTGTGTAATGATGGCGGTCCGTCCGGAGGCCCGGTTTCCAGGCCCAAGCCCAGATTCCATCGCCTATAAATACCCCAAGGCCAGGCATTCCTCCGTGTGCGAAAACTTTGTTAGCGAAGCTCTGCCAATTTTTCTAGAGAGAGAAACAGCAGCCCTCGGTTGAATCCTCCGTTCTTAAGGTCGGTTCTCCACTTGCCCTTCAGCTCTTAGCTACCTGTATTGTGCCCTTAGGCTAGGAGATAGGATATTCTAGGAAACCTTAGTTTTCCCGAGCCTTCGAACTAGTGAGCAGATGTCATCACAGAGCGACTCCCAGGATATCTCGGGGGAGCCTTCGGTAGAGATGGAGACATGCTCAGATGTGGAGTCGTCGAGCGTGGAGTCTTCGGCGGGTGGTGACGCCGCAGTGGCCATGGAAGTGGAGAAGGACCTCCAGGCCGAAGTCGAAGCCGAGGGCTTCGAACAAGAAAACGAGGACGAAGAGCTTGCCCTCGCCGTGCAGACCGCCGAGCAAGAAGAGGAGAGGGAAAGGCTGAAGGTGACTGTTGCCATTCCCCCCCAACGGGGTGCCAGGGAAGCCAGCTCCTCCCGGCCACTGGACCCGACGCCCATAAGTGTGGCTCCCGGGAAGAAACACAAGACGAAGGCGGCCCCGAGGAAGAAGCAAGCGGCAGTGGATGCCGGGCGGCCGGTGGGCATACCCGAGGGCCATTCGTTCTTGAATACTGCCGCCCTAGAGCTGAAGACGAAGGCATCCCCGGCAGAATACCAGTCCACCCAGATGCTGGTTGGACCTTCAGCGCGCGTGGTGGAGCCCAGGGCGGATGACTTGCTGCGATACGCGCCCGAGGGGTGCTTTGCTGCTCACACCCTCTCGGTGGAGATGGGGCTCCGGTTCCCACTCCATCCTTTTCTCTTGGAGTATCTGAGATTTGTGGGGTTGGCCCCTTGCCAGCTAACGCCCAACAGCCACTCCTACGTGGCCGGCTTCCTCTCCTTGTGTCAGAGCCGGGGGGTCGAGCCCACACTCGATCAATTCTTCATGTCCTTCAACCTTTGCCGGGGGGGCATTCAAATGCTGAGGGCTTTGCCAACCTTCAGCAGGTACCGGAGTTCCGGCTTTTTGATGATGTGCCCTCGTCTCACAAGGGGTGGAAAGAGAGGTTCTGCTACATCCGCCTCGAGGAGAACCCCTTCCCGGCCCAGCTCCGTAATAGCTTCCGGCGCCACCCGAAGGTGGGGAGCGCAGCTTTGGAGAAGAACGGCAAGGTGCTTGCCAAGAAGCCGGAGGGGTCTGACAAGCACGTCAAGATCAGAGAAGTCACCCTTCCGGAGGATTTGCTTAGCCTGGGCTTCCGGCAGTTCAGGCCGAGGGGCTCTTCGGATGGGAGATACCCTCCCCTCGATAGGGTCTTCGAAGGCGCTGGAGGTGATCACCGAATTGTTCACTGATGCGTTGATAGTTCTCTCTTACTCCTCATTTTTTTTTACGTAGTAACTGGTAGCCTTCGATCTAACCCTCCTTTTTTTTGTTGCTTGCAGGTAACAATATGGATGTTGGTTCCCTCTTCGCTTTGAAAAACGCGAAAGGAAAGAAGAAGGCCCTGGCGGGCGCTTCTGCCAGGGAGGGGCCCTCCCAAACTGCTGGCGCTGCTGCTGGCCCCGGAGGGTCCAAGGGTGCTGGGCCCAGCAAAAAGAAGGTTGCTGGAAAGGGGACCGAGCCCCCGGCCAAGAAGCCGAAGACCGCCGCCCCTACCAAACAACCGATCACCGATGTGGTGGTGATCGTGGACGAAGGGCACGCTTCTGCCTCCACCCCCCAGGAACAAATCAATCAGGAGTTCTTTGGGCGGGAGAGGTTGGAGGCGATAGTGCCGAAGGGGGCCTCCGTGTTGGAGGGCAGTTTGAACCCTTCGGCTCTGATGAGCCAGATGTTGCCGTCGGCCGACCGACTGGCCCTTGCCCGGCTGGACGAGGGACCCCTCGAGGCGAAGGTCCTCCTGAATGCCGCCTCCGTAAGTCACCCCCCTTCTCTGCTCATTGTTATGTTTTCCTTTTGTGCTATGTTCATTATGCCTTATTCTTGCCTTCGTGAATTGCAGGCTTTTATGGGCCTCTGCGAGCACCTTCGAAAGGTGGATCAAATGAGGGAGGCCAAGGGTGCCGCCGAGGGGGAGGTCGCCCTTCTCAGGAAGAAGCTTGCTGAAGCAGAGGACTCTCTACGGCTGGCCACCGACGGCATGGAGCAGAGGATGCAGGCTGCAAGGGCCGAAGGGATCAATGAGGGGCTAGCCAGGGCCGGGGAGGCCGCCGCCGAGGCCGCCCGTATTGCTGCCGATGAAGCCCGCGCGGCTCAAGAAGAGGCCGTCTCCAAGGCCCGAGAGGATGCGGTGGCCAGCTTCATGGCCGAAGGGTGGAAGACCGAAGACCGGAGGGAGTGGCTCGCTTCGGTGGTGGGGGCTTCAGTAGACGAGTGGGTCGGGGGCCCCGGGAAGATGTGGCTTGCCGAGAGGGGCGACTCGTACTACCAAGGCGGGGAGTTCTTCACCCAACGCCTCATCTACCGGAAGCTTGCGAAGCACTTCCAGGTGGCACCGGAGGAGTTCCGTCCAGAGGCTTATGGCCTCCCCCCCCCCCCCCCCCCCCCCGCCAGCCAGATGTCAGGATCCCACTCCCCGAGGGGGAAGAGAGGCCAGTTCTTGAAGACTCAGAGACCCTCCGGGAGTGCGGCCTTGGGGGTGAAGAAGATGAAGCCGAGAGCGAGGCGATGTCCACAGTACCCCCTTCTTGAATTGTAATCCCCCCTTTTGTGTTGTAATTGTTGGCCTCGGCCTCCTTTGTAACAGTGTACTTAAACTCCCTTTTTTGAATGAATGAGTACATATATGCCCTCGGGCCTTTGACATATAACATGCTTCCTTTTGATTTGTTCATTGTCGAATATATGCCTTCGTCTTGCTATGGATGTATGCCTTTGTTCCTTTGAATGTATGTTTTAGGACTTAGAATATTTTCTGATTGTAGCTTGCCACTGGAAGCCTTCGGTAGTTGGGCACCCTCTGTAGGAATTAGGACTTAGAAAATTTTTCTAAGTGTAGCACACCTTAGGGCCTTCGGGTGTTTGCAGTAACCCAATTCCTAGTACTTAGAAAAATTTCTAAGTGTAGATTTTCCCTTGGGGAGCCTTCGGGTGTTTGCAGTACCCAATTCCTAGTACTTAGAAAAATTTCTAAGTGTAGATTTTCCCTTGGGGAGCCTTCGGGTGTTTGCAGTAACCCGATTCCCAGGACTTAGAAAAATTTCTAAGTGTAGATTTCCCCTTGAGAGCCTTCGGGATATGGCATCCCTTCCTGATGTGTGAATGTTGGACCGGGGGCCCAATGCACAGGACTTAGAGATTTTTTGCAAGTGTAGTATGTCATGTAGCCTTCGGCTACTGTGGAGCCCCAACTGAAATATTGAATAGGTCGGGGGCCAATTCTTCAGGACTTAGAAAATTTTCTTGAGTGTTGATTCCTTGTGTACTGTAGCCATCGATTGATAGGTAGCCTTCGGCAATTAGGTCCCTCGAGATGAGGGTGAAATATGTAGGACTTAGAAAATCTTCTAAGTGTAGAGTTTCCCTTGGGAGCCTTCGGGAGATGGCATCCCTTCTTGATGTATGAGTAGATGACCGGGGGGGGGGGGGGGAATATGTAGGACTTAGAAAATATTCTAAGTGTAGATTTTCCCTTGGGAGCCTTCGGGAGATGGCAGCCCTCCTTGATGTATGAGTAGTTGACCGGGGAAAAGCATGTAGGACTTAGAAAATATTCTAAGTGTAAAATCTCCCTTGGGAGCCTTCGGGAGATGGGATCCCTTCATGATGTATGAGTAGTTGACCGGGGGGGGGGGGAATATGTAGGACTTAGAAAATCTTCTAAGTGTAGATTTTCCCTTGGGAGCCTTCGGGTGATAGGTGCCCTCTGACTCCACATCACTTTGCCAGATGCCCGGGGGCTGCTCATATAGGACAGAATATATTTTTTCAAGTGTTGTTGTATTGCATGACCTTCGGCTGCCATATTCCCTTGGCTGTAATGCTGGTTGGGCCGGGGGGCCAATCTTTAGGACTTAGAATTTTTTCAAGTGCTGTTTCCTTGTGTAGCCTTCGGGTGATAGGTGCCCTCTGACTCTACCTTACTTTGCGTAAGTTGATGTTGAATCCTGTTGTTGTGAAGAAAGCCAATGAGGAGTGTATGCCCTCGGCATAATTTTTAAAAGGTGTACATTTCGACCCTTGCTGAAGCCTTCGGCGCCTGTGTGACCGGAGGTGACCAGGTAGTGGCCTTAGCCGTTTCCTGATGATATTTGTTTGAGTGGTATCTTTCGGGAAATAGGAGCCTTCAATTACCGGAGGTGTTCCCGTGGGGAGCCCTCGGCTTGTTGAGATCTGTTGGAGTGTACTCTTTGATTTCTCGCTGAGTCTACTCCCCTTCACCCCCTCTTTTTTTCTTTTTTTTTTTTTGGTTGGTGGTGAAGGGAAGGCATCAAGAAACTTGGTTTCTTGGTAAGGCTGGGCCTATTAGGAGACCATCAGAATACACCAATGGCTCTCCTCCCTCGGGTTAACCTTCCGAGTTCCGAGGGGATCAAGGGACGTTTCCTGGGCACAAGATATGGTGGTCCGTAACCTGCCTCCCCTTGGGGGATAGCGCGGAAAGCGCCTCATTTTTGAAAGTCGTCCCATCGGCGCTAGACATAGTCCGTGGCCTGCCACACCCTTGGGGTGGTGGCGCGGGGAGCGTTTCGGTTTGGAAGTCGAATCCTGGACATTTCTCATACCTGTCATACACTGGGGGTAGTGACGCGGATAGCGTTCCGTTTTTGAAAGTCGAATCCTGGGCATTTCTCATGCCTGTCATACCCTGGGGGTAGTGACGCGGAAAGCGTTTCAAGGAAGGGTTTTCATTTGCAAACTAGTTGCAAATGGCCGGAGGCACTACGTGCCGCCGGCACCGATGGTGGTGCCTTCGGTATATGCGTCCTCGTGGGGTACGGCTTTTAGAAACAACACTTGGTGTTAGTTTCGATGTGTAGCCCCCGGTACTTGGTACCGAGGGGTCTTCTGTAGGAACACTTGGTGTTCTCTTTTGTCGTAGTTGATGTAGGCGTCTACCCTCGGTACTTGGTACCGAAGGGTCTTCAAATGAAACACTCGGTGTTTCCCAACAGATGTCTGGAAGTTGATAGGAGAGCATATCCCTGGCACTGGGTGCCGAGGGGTCTTCTTTGATGATGTTTGATGATGGAGGTGTACCCTCGGCACTGGGTGCCGAAGGGTCTTCTGTAGGAACACTTTGTGTTTCCATTTTTTCTTTTTCTTTTTTATGATGAAGGTGAGAATGTACCCTCGGCACTGGGTGCCGAAGGAAAATGAAACACATGGCGTTCCTTGTTGTTGGTGATAGGAGTTCCCTCCCTCGGTACTGGGTGCCGAGGGGTCTTGACTGAAAACACGTGGTGTTTTCACTGTTTGTTGTAGGTGTTGATGGTGTCCGCCCTCGGCTCTTGGTGCCGGAGGGGGTTCTTCTCGTGGTGAGGCCTGGGGCCTGTAGTCAGTATGAGGGCTTGATGTCTTGAATGTATCTTCATTCTTCGAAATTGGAGGCCTTGGGCCATAGGATAGTACATTCACTAGTTATGAGGGCTTGGCCGCTCTTACATTATTGATAAAATTTAACTAAATGGTGTACATTCCATTGCCTAGGGACTTCTTTACCATTGGGGCGTTTGAGCTTGTAGGTCCCGGGTTTGATGATGGCTGCTATGATGTAGGGGCCTTCGAATTTTGGTGCCATTTTTCCTCCCTCGGTTGGTTGGCTGGCTTCCCTCCTCCGGAGGACATAGTCCCCCACTTGAAATTCTCGGGTGCGAACTTTGGCGTCGATGTTGCTTTTAACTTGCCTTCGATAGTTTTCTGCCCGGATGAAGGCCTGCTCCCGGCGTTCTGAAATGAGGTGGAGGTCGAGGGCCATGTTGCTGTCGTTGACCTCGGGGTCATATTGGATTACCCTTCGGGTGGGAAGGGTGACTTCCGTAGGAGCTTTGGCTTCAAAACCGTAGCAGAGGGAGAAGGGTGTTTCACCTGTTTCTCGCCGAGGGGTGGTGCGGTAGGCCCAAAGGATGTTGTGGAGTTCTTCTACCCAGCCACCACCCTCGGCCTCCAGCTTCTTTTTGAGGCCCTCGAGCAAGGTCCGGTTGGCGTTCTCTACTTGTCCGTTGCCTTGAGGGTAGGCAACGGAGGAGAAGGTGTGTTTGATGCCCCATGCCTCCAGGAGGGCACAGAAGGGGGCTGCCTCAAATTGTGTCCCATTGTCGGAGATGATCTGCTGGGGGACGCCAAACCTTGTGAGGATGTTCTTGAGGACGAAATGACGGCACTTCGCCTCTGTGATGCTGGCGAGGGGTTCAGCCTCCACCCACTTGGTAAAGTAGTCGACGGCCACAATGATGTACTTGTTGTTGGAGGTACCCCTCGGCAGAGGGCCCACAAGGTCTATCCCCCATCGAGAAAAAGGGACAGATGTACTGATGGGGGCATAGTTGACCGCTGGCCTGCCGGGGGCTTTCTGGAAATGTTGAGATGCGGTGCACCTCCGGGCAAGGTCAGCACAATCCCTGGCCATGGTCGGCCAGAAGTAGCCCTGGAGAATGAGCCTTCGGGACATGGAGAAGGGTCCCTGGTGAGCTGAGCAAGTGCCACTGTGCACTTCCTCCATTGCGACCTCGGCTTCATCTGGATGAAGGCACCGAAGTAGCGTGCCATTGTAAGATCGTTTGTAGAGCCTTCCATCTTCGATGGTGTAGCTGGGAGCCCTCAGCTTTGCCAGTTTAGCGCGGGCCTCATTCTCGGGTAGCTGCTCTGTGGAGATGAAGGCGGTGATATCTGAGATCCAATCCTCCTGACGTTGTTGTATGTTCATAACGGGGCTTGCATGGATGCTTGAGAGGCTGAGTTCCTCGATTTTGGCAATTTTGGAGATGTGCTCGGGGGAGTCGGCCGAGAGCTTAGATAATATGTCGGCCTCGGAGTTCTGAGCCCTCGGTATTTGAGTGAGAGAGTGTGCCTCAAATACCTTAAGCAACTCCTTGGCCGCTTCCTTGTACTGTTTCATTCTCCCCTCCTTGGTCTCATATTCTTCGGAGATTTGGCCAACGACCAACTTGGAGTCGCATTTGATGTGGATCTGCCGAGCCCTCATGTTGGCAGCCAGCCGAAGGCCACATAGGAGGGCCTCATATTCGGCCTCATTGTTGGAGACCTTGAAGGAGAAGCGGATTGCATAGTAGGCCCTGAAGCCCTCGGGAGTAATGAGGACTACCCCTCCCCCGCATGCTTTGGTCGCGGAGGAGCCATCAGTGTAGAGGGTCCACCAGTCGTCCGAGGTAGCCGAGGGCTCCCCGTCCGTGGCTGCCCTTGCGGTACATTCCGTCACAAAGTCCACCAGGGCTTGGCCCTTGATGGCAGGCCTTGGACGGATGTCAATGTTGTATTGACTCAAGAAGATAGCCCATTTCACCATGCGGGAGGAACTGGTGGGGCTCCTCATGAGGGCGCCGAGGGGTTGATGGGTGAGGACCTGAACCGGGTGAGCCTGAAAGTAGTGGCCCAACTTCTTGACAGTCCAAACGATGGCTAACACCGTTTTTTCCACAGGGGAGTACCTGAGATCGGCCTCCCTTAAGGTCTTGCTTACGTAGAAGATGGCATGTTGGATGCCGTCTTCCTCCCGGATGAGCACAGAGCTGATGGCCGCCGGGCTAACCCCAAGGTAGAGGTAGAGGGTCTCCCCTACCTTGGGTTTGGAGAGCACATGAGGTGAAGATAGATATCGTTTGAGCTCGTCGAAAGCCTCCTGGCA